GTCAAATGCATTTAGAATTACTAAAAAATTGATACCTGTCCTACCTGCGCACTCACCGCGTCCACCACTTTGGGCTTAGTGAGGTCCCACATCATGTACGGTAGGTATTGGGGCCTCAATGTACAAAAACCTGAGTCTGGTCAAATACATGCAGGTAGCCGCTCACTGGCTCTTAGACTATATTGGTCAATCGGACAAGAAGCGGGAATAGGGCCATGACGTCACCACCCTACCACATTCGATTTTTGATAATTAATTACGGGAAAACTATGGTATTCAGAAAGATGAAACAAAATGCACTGTTTTTCAATTTAAAATTTCTATCAAGTGAACTATAAACCAAAAATCATGAAACAAGCTCATTCATGTATTTCCACATTTCATACTGCCTATAACAATAGAAATATGATATATGATAATTATCCTGCTTCATTGTATTTTCTTTGTTGATTTTATTCTCACAGAGCAACTTGATTTTTCTATCATACTTAATTTGGGAAGAAATATAATTATTTGATTCTTCATTCATACGAATTCAAGCCCACATTACATTACTTCCTTTATTTTTCAACAGCATTCGTCAGTTGATAAAACTTAAAATTCAGAAAAATAAAATCCATCTAAATATGTATTTCCAGTCCTAGTTCCACTACTGTAAAACCCAATTTTCAATATATCAAGTGTCGTTGAAAAAATTTATTAACAAAATATACAAATAATATCAAATATGGCAATTTTGACTTCAACTAGTATTGCGCAACCTGTTGCGGCCTGTATTGAGGCTGAAATTTTCCTTTATTGGGCTGCTTCGGAGGGGGTCGAGCAGCGAGTTCTTCCTCTTCTTCATCAAGAGCTTCTTGTTGGGGATCACACTTGTTTCCAGCTTCATATTCATATTCCCTATAAATATTAACATTGAAACGTATTTCATTCAAATAAATTTTTTTCACACAACAATTTTCAAAATTGATCCCATTTTTATATTTTTAATGATGACAAGAATTTCTAAGCAGGTCAAGAAAGGCATTGGATTATTAGATATATGAATTCGATATTTCTTCTGTGACGTACAACGTTAATTTGATAACTCTCTCTGGTTTACTTGGAAAATTGAGAACGAAAAGACTATTATAGAATTCAATGAAACAATAAAAATAATTGGGATTCGAGCAAAAACAACTGCCATTTGGTTTGATAAATGACAGTCTAGTTCAAATTAGTTTCGTTGGTCGGCAAATATATTGAAATATCTTGAAAAATCTATCAGAAATCTGTGAGGTTGCATTTTTAACAGTTTGACTCACAAGAGATTTAAATACTTCAGTTACCGAAATGAGGCATTGTTTCGTACCAGTAATTACGTAAGAGTGTAAATAATGGGCTGTTAGGAATGGGATTCGTAACACCGTTCATGGATCTCATTCTACATTTTTCGATTCCTAAACTTTCGAATGCATTCAAAAACTTATTTTCATGTACCGATCTAAACAATATCAAGCATCCCTTATTTACAGTGTTGTCAACCGTAGCAGAATTCCTCTACCGTAGAGGAATTTACTCGATGGTAGCAGCGTAGCGGAATTTTCCACAAATAATCAATATTGAAAAAAATATGGAAAAAAAAGAGGCAGTGGACAGCACTCAAAGCTGACAGCTGACAATTAAACGCACAGTAATACGTTATAGTCTTATTAGCTGATGCCATTACACAATTGAAGAGAAGAAGAAAATTTTTCGGTATTTTTATTCATATAACTTCCAATATCCTGAAACTGAAAGTCTCGAGTAATATAAATTATATGGAACAGATTACAATGTAAATGGAAGATAGTTCCTCTGATTGAAGCTCAATGGAAAGAACTATCGCAATTGAAATTGACGAAAACTGGACATGTTAGAAAAAATACAAAAAGTCTCGAAAACAAATTTTTTCTCAACATTGGTTGTCTCATTCCAGCTTGAAAGAATGAATTCAACCTGTCGCGAATGATCGTTCAGAAGCTCGGTGTATTGTTTGCAACTGGATTTTCATTTCTAAGAATGTTTGAAACAAAAAAAAATTAGGAATACGTTTTTTCATGAAATGAATATTTGTTTATCTCCAAAAAAACAGTTACATGTCTTTTGAAATTTCTCTTTCTCTGTTCCTTGAACAGTACTATTCGCAGAAATATCATGATTTATGAATGAAATAATCAAAATCGAACTCCTGGATTATGACTGCCTTCTTGAAGATCAATTTTTACATCCCTCTTTTCATTGGCCAAATCCGCAAATAAACAAAGTTATCTGACTATAGTCATATTCACCTTCTTGTGCCCTCAGGATCTATGTAACCATATTTTCCCTTTATGATACAATCAATACCCAAAGTTTCTTCCTTGAAAGTTCCGTCATCATTTTCGAATCCCCAGGTAATGGTACCGTCAGGGTTATCTGTTCTATATTTTCTCAAAATTTGACTGACTGGTTTCTTCTTTCTGGTTCCGTCATCCTCTTCGAACTGTGGTCTAGGTGCTGGTCGTTGTGGAGCTGGTCGGAACTGTTGCTGTTGTGGTCTCACCTGCAAACATCATTGTTGTTGTCAGAAATATGCGAGTCGTATAATGAAATTTACAAAAAATATTGAAAGTTCAATGCCTTCTTCTTCTTAAAACAAAGTCGTTTATGATGTGGTTAAAAAGTTTCATGCTGAGAACCAATCATTTCATGACATTCAGGAATACTGCATAAAGGCTTCTTTGTTCATAGTGAAATTTTTTACATAAATGATCTGTTGCTCTTTTGTTTTTGAGTAAACATTTTGAAAAAAAATCAATTAGCATTTGTGAATACTCATTATGCTGAAAAAAGTTTTCAGTTGGTTTGATATATTCTTCTCGATAACAAAGTGGCTCATAGACATTCTCTTCTTGTACAATTATGAATATGATCTCAAAAATTCTTATATTCCAAATTTCCAATAATATCGATAACATCTTTCTTTCCAATTAAGATATTGGATTGAAAGTGACAGAAAGGAAAGAGGACGCGGGATTAAGTATTACTGATCTTTGTCTGTTCTCAGATGTTTGCAGGCGTATATGAAATGATTCACACTGACAGACAACGACAGTTGGATCTACTGCACAAAAATAGATAAAGAAGAGCATTTTCTTTGGAAACGTAAGTACTCACAAAATATGCCTCAAAAACATCTACTTGGAAGTGTAATACTCATGGCAGTCCCAGGAAGATGTGAGTGGCGAATTTCTGATGGTAAAAATCGGACTCATGCCATAGATGCAGACTTTAAATGGATTATCTCTCTCTGCATATCTATTGTATTCTTAATGGAATACCCAAAAATAATGGACCCAGTAGAATGTAAACAAACGAATACAGATCTGGTGAATGAATTGTTGAGTATGGAGTTGGATACTGTAGCGGAGACTGAGCAAAATGGGGATTTACTCGAGCGTCATAGAGACATATTAGGTTGCAAAGCTTAGATGATAAGAAGAAAAAAATTTTATATAATATTATTCCTTTTCATCGCTGGGGAAAACGGCTATAGATTTTCAAATATGTAAAAAAATACTGTTGCATGGACATACTTGAGCGCGTAAGATATTGATAGCATCAATGTCCTACGTTGATGTAATTGTTTGCATGATGCGGGTAGTTGTACGTGAGGGTTAAAAGTGAAAAGAAAAAAAAATTAATCGAACGGGTCAGATTTTCTAAGGGGGTGTTAAGTGCAACAAAAAAAAGCTCTCATTCAATAATCTGACGATTTCGATCTGACGCAAACTAGGGCTCCTTTATTACAAGCAATGCATTAGTCGGACAGATAAATTTCTCAAAGAATCTGTGCAAACCAGTAAAAGAAATAATATTGTTGGAATGGGTGTTCTGTGAAAATAATAGTAAGTACTTTAGGCTGCAGTGTTTTCCAGATACATAAAATGAATGGAGAAGTCGTACGACAAAATAAGTACTGAAGTGTCATTTATATTTTATCGTGTAGTTGAGGGTTTGCTCATAATATTTAACTTGGGTTTGCATGTATGTTTTTTACCGTTACTTACTCTGTAGCATAGTTGAGTTACAAAAGGGTTTTTCAACAAAAATTATTTCCGACAGTAACATATTTCTCAGTGTTGAATACAGTCGTACTCATTGAGGACTTATTCATATAATACATACAGGCCCAACAGTGTTTTTTCATCAGAAGTTTGAAATATCAGAACTAAATAATCATGTTCATCGGTAAACGTGTTATTTATGAAGTTTCAATTTGGGATTTACTGTTTTACATAAGTCCAATAAATACCAAACGGTTCAACTGGCACTCGTGTAGGAATTTTTAGTATCGTATCGCGAAATTAGGTTAATTCCATCAAAAATGATCATGTACAGATCGAAAACGATGAAAATTGTAATGAATGTATTCAATAGGAAAATACTTTGCGTCAACCTGCCTTTGGCCTACTTTGCTGTCTGGTTGGAATATTAGAGAAATCGTCATCATCCTCATCCAGTTCCTGTCTCACCACAGGTCGAATCGGCTTTGGTCTACTCTGGGTAATTGGTGGCAAGGGCCTGGGCTCCTGTCTGATTACTGGTCGTGACGATGGTAATTCTACAGGCCTCTCTCTAATCTGGTCTCGTGTTACAGGAATTGGTCTTTCGGGGCGGAATGGTAGAGGAGATGGTCTCAATGTAGGTTCCTCTTCTTCTGCTTGTCTGACACCAGCTGAAATGGCAGGAATGCTAAGTTTGTTGACTTCATCGTCAAATGAACCTATAGACTGCGGGTAATTTTCCTGCTCTTCTTCAACTACAGGTTTGACTTCTCGAGGTGGAGACGGGGGTTGGTGAGGCCTTCGAGGTCTGGGAATAAAATCGGCAGCATTTATTCTTTGTTGTCTTTGTGGAGCAGGTCGAGCTCCTTGAACTAGAAGTGCTCCAGGTACTTGAAATCTCGGGGGAAGTTGTCCCAAGGAGAGTTGTAACAATATCTGGAATAAAAAAGAGATATTGAAACGTTGACTGATTTTTCTGAAGTTGATGTACGAATTATTTTTCTCTTTTTTTGGTAAGTACCAACAGCATACGATTATGGAGGTAACGAAAGTAGTTGCATATATTATCACATCAAGTTTTATTCATTGATGACTATTCAGAAAAGTTGGTATTTCTGAAACAAATTAAAATATCTCATGGCATGATTCAAAATAGTGTTGGTTGCCATTATGTAGGAAGTATATGGGAAGTCCATTCGAATGGCATAAACACTAAATAGTTACCGAATGTCGGCAGGTTCTTTGTTTGGCATGGGTGGCGTGATATAATATAATAATATGGTGTAATTTTATTTTTCATAAACCTGCACGGATTTGTTTTTTATTAGTAGTAAAGAGTAATGCCATTAGTCTTTTATTTAGCTGAAGCAGATGAACGCAGTCATTCAAAAATGGTAAAAAAAAATTTGTAAGACAGGAAGCAAGTATCCTCTTATCACATACCAGTTTCTTTCATATATTTGAAAACTAACAAATATTTTCATAAACAGGCTAGTTCATTGATCGAAGAAAAATTCTCTTGATTGTATTACTGAACGCAGTTTAGTGAGAAACTGACCAATAATCTAATGCTACTACAGTACATGTTTTCCAACAATATCGATAACTTGATGAAAATCCATGATGAAAACTAAATCAATACAGTTTATTGTATGCAGCGCCCGATCCAACTATTTCGCCGCTCCGAGCAAAATAATATTTGCCGCTTTTTACCCATGCGTTATTCCATAGATGGTGTAATTTTAACCTATAAAAAGACAAATTTTCCCTGCCGATATTAATGAAACAAAATAAGTTTAGTTTTAAGATATTTATTCAAATCCAGCATTCAGCACAGTTTGAAGGAGGCAGTGTGACCACATTTTATTTTTGTAATCTACTAAAATATGATGTGAAATTTTAGTGATGTCAATATTAATATATTATATTCTAACAACTTTTGTATAGGGTGTGGTTTTTTTTGTTTAACCGTCTTTCAAATTTTCGCCGCCGACGCCGCGCCTTCTTCAATTTTGCCGCCCCTCATTTTTGCCGCCCCGGGAAATTGCCCGGTTTGCCTCCCCCCCTTAGATCGGGCGCTGATTGTATGATTTTCACTATAAAGGGTTTTACAAAAACCGCGACACGTGTTTCGCTATACAATAGCTTCCTAGCATAAACTCTGCTTGAGGAAGCTATTGTATAGTGAAACACGTGTCGCGGTTTTTGTAAAACCCTTTATAGTGAAAATCATACAATAAACTATATTGATTAGTTTTCAAGTTCAGTAGTGACATACTTTTTTATTGAAGGAATATGGTAGTGGAACACATTTATAGAGTCAATAAAATAAATTAGAATGTTCGGGCCGATAATCTTGGTAGGTAGTTATTTTGTTGGACCATTCTTTGATTTGATTTGAATAAAGACTCCTATTTCAACCTATTGAAAGAATGAAGAGCATTTCAGCAGGATGCTTCTTTATATTTGGATATTCGCTCAAGACAATTTTTGGATAAACGTTTACTGATGTGTTAAATGTATAACCAACTAGATCCTCTGATTTCACACCCTTGAATTTTTTCTCGAGGGACACCTGAGGTAGGAAATAGGAGCTATTGAATTCACATCTTGAGTAATGTAAGGAAAGATTATAAAAGTCGCCTGTATCATTTTGTTGGACTTGGAGGAGGTCATTTCAAGCAAAATATGTGTTGATTTTGTCCCCGTCGATGTCGTTTGCCAATAATTTTCCCCAGTAGAAAAATTGAAGCAAATTTTAGTTTTTTACCAAATGAGGTGTTCAACATCGAATTTTTCGATAATAAACAAATTATGATGAAAAATATAGGGGTATCAGAAGGACAAAGGACCTTTTAAATGATGTATCTCTCAACTCCTCATGCCATTGAAAAATATGGAAGTAGGCGCTAACCGCAAGAAGATAAAATTTCGGGTATGGATATAAAATTGTAATTGAATCTCTTCAGAAGAAAAGCTGATGTGACGGAATTTTGATCATATCTCTATGAGTTATAGGGGGATCAAGATTCCGTTGGGAAGCCCTGAATATACTTGATGAATTTGTGATAAACCCAAAAGTATCTTTTTTATATAGAATTATATTCCCACCATACCTTAATCACCTTCAAGTATTTTTCCTTATATAGAGTTCATGTGCATGATATAAAATAGTTGGAAGTTATTGAATTGAAAGAAGAAATGAAGTGAATGAAAAGTTGTTGTTGTTGATGTAGTTTGTTTTTAATTTGTAGATAGAAGTTTGAATAATATGGGTGTACCTATTGTCTGAAAGATATTTTTTGTGGGGGACGCAATACTTCTTACCGTTTTTCAGGTCAGAAGAATCAAATCGTATTTCAAAAGAATTATAGCTATTTACAATTCGAGGCGAAAGCTTCAAAGTGAATTTTGGATTCCGATAACGGAAAAAAATTGTTTTCCAAAACGTCGACCACTGAAGGAAGCTAAGTATAGAAATTAAATTTTTTCAATAGATATTTTTCAATTTGTATGCAAAGTTTATGGATACGACAAGTTTCTGATTAATTGGACTCTTCAGTGGTTTATATTACGCAGTAACTTTTGTGGCGTGAACTTTCCAGTTTGCCCTTTATTACACTTCAGTGGAATCTCTATTGATTTATCTTTCATTTTTTTTTAGATTGTGGAAGGTTATATAACCAAAAAAGGTAAGAAGTATGGGCGTTACCTTTTTGATTTGTTTTCATTATAGTTGGGTACTTTTCGGTAATGAAGAAAAAAAATATCATCCAATACACGAATTGATATCTGTTTAACAATACATTTCGTTGCCTATTTTCATTGTATTGTACCTTGGGCGGTCGGTAGCCAGGCGGTTCGACGTGGGTGCTTTTTTCACTTACTCGAATTGACTGCCGTGTTGGTCGGTGATTCAAGCCCTAGTCTGAACGATCGATTTTCACTTGCTATCGTCCAACCCGTGTTAGGAATCACACGTTGAAAGGTAAGACCTCGTTAATTCTTAGCTCGCACAAGTTTCGACTTCTGAGGTTGTCGTTCGTAGGGATGCGACAGCTGGTTAATGGAAAAAACAGAACAGATTGTATAGATATCAATTGCATCTGACTGACATTACCATTTACTCTATATGATTATTAATGGAAAAAGTATGATTAATGTCGGTGTTTTTCTTCTGTTCATATCTGGTTTTCCTGGTTTTCAGTTGATAATTTTATCATGACAATAACGGATATTTCGTTATATTTGTTCAATTCAATACTATAAATGAATATATTTTACAAAATTAGGCAGTGAAAATATTTTCATTACAATTTTCATTACACTTTTCAGTACACGATTCATTACACTTTTGTGAAATGAAATATTTTCAACCTTTCGTGAATTTCACAGTGAATTTCTGATACATTTGATAAATATTTTCTGATGGTAGTTACTAAGTACATTAATTTTCAGAAAACGTACGAACAAATTATTCGTTAATACTTTTATAGATATGGTTTGTATACGAGGAGTCGGCTTTTTGAGTACTACATAAATATTACTGGAGTTTTATCCCAACATCTCCAGAGGTGTTAAAAATAACGGTTTGGTGTAAGGATAAAACTCCAGTAATATTCATTACTGAACCAAAGGTTCCAAACAGTGCATTACAAGTGTTACATATTTATACATGTAGCCATATTGTATGTTTATATGGCGGGTTGGCTGTCCTTGTTCATCTTTCACTGTCTGAACCACTGTGCATGCTGTTTTCGTCGAGTGAATTGGCTTGGGATGTGGGGGTTGAGCAAACCGGCCATCGGATGATTGCTACCACGTAGCCCCGCTGGATACGGGCATGACAGAATCACTTGTGGTTCTGTTATTTTCTAACTGAATGGCATCCCAACGATGGCTCAATCCTAAGGTGTGTGTATCCGTGCCGAGAGGATGAATGACACTGAGCCTATCAGCTGTCTCTACGAAACCTTCGAGATACCGGGCGTCCTCTCGTCGTAGCATCGCCTTGTCATGGTAATGCGGGGCTCTGCCGTGATTGACCTTTTTTCCCTAACTACTCGACTCGTGTCGAACTTACGACTCCAACCGACCTCCCTGTAAACTTAGATCAGGAGTTTACACGAGTCTACAGTGGAGATGGATGTCGAGTTTACGACTCCAACCGACCTCCCTGTAAATTTAATTCAGGAGCGAGTCTACAAAGAAGATGGATGTCGAGTATACGACTCCAACTGGCCTCCCTGTAAATTTAGTTCAGGAGAAGAGATGGATGTCGTTTTTACGACTTCAACTGACCTTCCTGTAAATTTAGTTCAGGAGCGAGTCTACAGAGGAGATGGATGTCGAGTTTACGACTCCAACGGACCTACCTGTGAATTTAGTTCAGGAGCGAATCTACAGAGGAGATGGATGTCGAGTTTACGACTCCAACTGACCTCTCTGTAAAGTGAATTTAGTTCAGCAGCGAGAGCTTCTCAACTCCCCAACTCCTGATCCAACAACTGAACCTTGAAAAAAGGTTTGGTGGTGCAGCCAGGAAACGACTGAGTCGTCTTCTCGAGAGCGGGGTACCTTTTAAAACCGCCTTGCACCAAATTCTTGAGCGGCGTACACAGAATATATCTCAGGTGGGGGAACAAACTCCCCATGAGAAGGTTAGCAAACGTTTGTGCTCAAGTGATGAATCACCAAAACCAGAGGCGAAAAAGCCCTGCACGGCTGAATCTACGGCATCGTCAGGTGTAGCTGACTTGCAAAAACCCTCATATGGGAAGGCTGTCGTGGGTATCAAGGTGTGAATCTTGCAACTTGACTATCCGACTACCTCATTAACAGAGTATATACTTTGTGCCTGTCCCGTTGGGGACCGAATCAGGTCTTTAGAGTTCGGCAGAGCCGTACTCTTACCATCTGACCTAAAAGACCACCCA